GCCCCCCCCCCTCCTTAAGCCCATTCTCACACCTGCCCCAGCCTCTCTCAGTGCCCAGGCCATCCTGTGCCCCGTGTCTTCCAGCTTTGCAAATCCTGCTCACCTTTAGGGCCCAGCATTATCCTTACTCTTCACTTCCCTGAGCGCCTATAGCAGCGGTTCTCAAGCTGTGGGTCGCGACCCCATTGGGGGTCAAACAACCGCCACACAGGGGTCACCTAAGACCATCGGAAAACACATATATAATTACATATTGTTTTTGTGATTAATCACTGTGCTTTCATTATGTTCAATCTGTAACAATGAAAATACATCCTGCAGATCAGATATTTACATTATGACTCATAACAGTAGCAAAATTACAGTTATGAAGTAGCAACGAAAATAATTTTATGGTTGGGGGTCACCACAACATGAAGAACTGTATTAAAGGGCTGCGGCATTCGGGAGGTTGAGAACCACTGCTCTAGAGTATCCAGAGGATTCTTAAGCATCATTTCATAAAGACAGTCCTAGATTTTGGTACAAAACATAACTTTAGAAAAAGTATCTTTATTAATTGGTTAACACACATTTCTTTTTTATATTATTGTTATTATTATTATTTCACAGAGAAAGGGAAAAGGGAGAGAGAGAAACATCAATCATGAGAAAGAATCATTGATTGGCTGCCTCCTACAATTCCCTAACCCACTCCCAACTGGGAATCCAGTCCACAACCTGGGCATGTGCCCTGACCGGGAATCTAACCATGACCACCTGGTTCATAGGTTGATGCTCAACCACTGAGCCACACTGGCCAGGCAACAGAGACAATTTTACTTCTTTCTTTGCAACTTGGATGCCTTTGATGTACTTTTTCTTACCTGATTTTTCTGTCTAGGACCCCGGCCCCCGGAGCCGAAAGAGTGGAGGGTTCTCGTGCTCTCCCCTCCGCTCCTTCACCAGCAGCAGTGTTAACATGGCAACGTCGGGAAACACGGCCGCAGCTCCTCCTTCTGAGTCCAGTTTAAGAACCCATTGTGGCCGTCGAGTCAAAAAGTTTGCCCACCCCTGGTCTAGACGGAGCAGTTCTCAACCTGTGGGTCGAGAACAATGATAATACATCCTGCATATCAGATATTTACATGACGATTCATAACAGCAGCAAAATTACAGTGATGAAGTAGCAACGAACATAATTTTATGGTTGGGGTCACCACAACATGAGGAGCTGTATTAAAAGGTCGTGGCATCAGTAAGGTTGAGAACTGCTGGAGGGTATTCTCTGTGTCCATACGGTAGGGAAAAAGTAAAGAAAAATGTAAAAATGAGATTACTAAACAATATGTAACCCAAAGAGAGTGACTTACAATCACACAGCTGTCCGAGAACTTGCTGCGTTAGACCCTGACGCAGACCCTGTGGCAGCTGCAGGGTAACGGTTGGATCTGAGTTGGGATCTGCCCTTGGCCACAGGGCCTGGCGGTAACAAACAGCAGAATGTTCTAGACAAGGGTCTGCAGTGAGTCAGGCCGTCCAGGCTGTTCTCTCATAGGATACAGGCTCTCACCGCC